GGAAGTTGGAGGCAATGCATTTGACCTTGCATGACCTTGCATGCTGAAATTTAGGCCAGAGACTCACTTCTCTAGTTCCTGGACACCTAGATTACTGGAGCAACAGCAATCAGATGTTCAAGTTTAGAAATGTTGTTGGCATAAATTTACTGAAACAGAGATTTTGTTGTTCCAGAGTGTATTTTCCTGAAAGGAGGGAAAAGTTGGAACTTGTTCTCCATTTACAAGGCTGTTTGACAGTTTTTCCTTGCAACTGTAGAGTGACGTAGAACAAGTAATCTTCAGAATTAAAGCAGAGAAACAAGAATTATTTCTAAGGAGGTGTAATGTATCAATACTTGAAACAAGACAAATACCCATTACAAAACAGACAGATGACAGCTTGCCTGTGGTAGGGCTTTGAAATTAAATGTCATGCTAATATAAAGCAGTTTTAGGTTTGTGTGTGCCTGCCTATACCTGTGCACGGGGGTGGGGGAAGATTTCCCAAGGCAGACCTCTGATATCCTCTTTTGCCTACTATTTTATTATTCTTTTAGACAAAAGTCTCTCACTGAACCTTCAGTTCTTCATATTGGCTAGACTAAGGCAGTGAGTCCTGGGATCTGCCTATCTCTGATGGGATTACAGCCATAAAACTCACCACACCCAGTTTTTTCATGAGTGCTAGGGATCTGAATTTAGTTAACCTGTGCTTGCCTAGCAAGCACTTCACGTTCTGGGCCACTTCCCCAGGGTAAATTTTGGAGATTCTTAATTGGAGAATCTGTTCCCTAGCATCAGGCTGTTCTGGCCCCTCAGGAAGAAGTATTCAGACCTCAGAGAGTTTTCTGGATCTTACATCGGCACACAAGAATCAGCGCTCCGCATTTCCCAGTCATCATTTAAATATGACTCATGTCAATAGGAATACTCAAAAACTCAGTAGTGAAGACTTCAAAGTAGGAGCCACAGTGTGCCTTGTACTTCCGGCGCACATGTGCCACAAGGAGCCGTAAGCAGGTACTTTCAGTTGGGTTTCCCAAGAACACCGAGGCACAATGGCTCCACTTCAGATTGTAGTTAAATGGGATTTAGAGGGTTAATCCCTTTTTAAGAAACAGAGCCTCCAGCTGCACGCAGCAACCTCCACTCTATAGTCTATGGACTGCTCAGCACCATATAGGGGTTGACAACGCAACAGTTAATTTCAAGGGAACAAAACCCCATAAACCCAGGTGCTCTGATTAAGATGAGATTTAAAATATATTCAACACGACAGAAATGGATTATTCAAAACTGAAATCGACTATATAGTTCTTCCTCAGTATTCGTAGATGACTGGCTTTAGGACCTGCCTCAGGAAGCAAATTCAAGTCCCAATCCTTTGTATAAAATGGTGTATTATTTACATATAAGCTAAGCATCCTTCCTACTTTTTAGTAGTGATACCTAGTACAACATAACATCTTCACGTAGTATTGTTCAGATGATAAAAAGTCCGTACATTTCAAGACAGATTCAATTTCTATTCTTTGGTAATTTTGCCTACAGGTGGTAAAGTTCACAAATACAGAAGGTCAACTATAATGCACTTACTACAATGAAGAAAACAGTAATTTAATGATTATGATGTTTCTCATGCCAGTCGGCAATGCACTTATAAATGTAAAATATCTGGTGAACCATTTAGTGAACATCATTAAAATATTTCCTATGTCTACCTAGCTTCCTATCAGGAGGAAGGTGAAGCCAACCTCTACCTGTGCAGAATAATCTGAGAAACATCGGGAGAGTTACCACCTGTCAGAGAGGACAAAGACTCGCACTTTCATATGAAGTAAATGAAACAGAAAGAACACCTGTTCACAACAGTCTGTTTAAGAAAGGATTTCATCTGTAGTGTAACCAGTGGGTTGTTTTCCCCCCCTCTGTATTTGTCAGTTCTGATCTCAGTTCCTTTGGGGATACATTGAAATGGCTGTTGCCATTGAGCGTGATAAAGTCAATCTTTTAAAGATAAAAACTAGAAAAGAAAATACAGTGAGCAGTTCAGTTGTATCATAGGAACAAATAAATCGTCTTGGTCTCTTGTTTCTGGAATGGACCTGGGAGGCAGACTAGCTTGCTGAAGCTCTTTGCCACAAGTCAGAAAGAATGTGGGGTACTTACTGTCACAGCTTCTCCTCAGAGGATCGTTTCTGGAGGGACAAAAGAAGAAACAGAAAATCTCCTGCACACCTATAAGAACTTACATGCTCTTGGGGACATGCAAGAATTACTGACCTGTTTGAAAACATTGTTTTGTTGTTGCTGAAGTATAGAATGGAAGATTCTTAATGTCTTTTATAAAAGTTACAAATAATTGTATAATGTACCAAATATCAATTGTATGCAGGTGTTGCGTTAGACACTGAATGGATGAAGCAGTGAAGAAGCAGACCCTATCCCTATACAGAGCTTATATGGTCACTGGTATTTTAAAAAGACGGCGGCAAGGTAGATGCTAGCCCACGTTCAGGCCTTATTAGATAATTTCACTGTATTTTAGCAGAATGAAGAAGCTCTACAGGAAATATTGATGATGAAAACAAAAGGCCAAAACAAACAAAAACTATCATGCAGCACTTCAGCATTTAATAACACATTATTTTTTTCTGATCTTTACCACAACCTTATGAGCTATTTGGATTATGCCTTATTTATGAATGAGCTGGTAAGCCTCATGGAACCTGGCCTCAGATGCTCAGAAAACAAGAGTATCCTTTCTTCTCCACTATGTTGTTTTTAATATGTAAATGAATATAGAACAGTACTTAAGAATTTCCACATCTTTTGTTGAAAAGCCCTATTACTGAGGTAGAACTTTAAAAGTTTCATCTCACACTAAGACCAGAACTAATGCAAGGTCTTTGAAAGAGAGAAAGACTGTGTTGTAACTTTAGAATGGGTTGGAGTGAATGTGGTGTTGGGTTTGAAAGTGAAACAGTGGAGTGGCACTCTAATTGCTTCTATCAGATAAAGACAGGGCTCTTAAAATGGCAGGAGGCAAAAGGCTGACAAAAGCAATCTGATTTAATTAGTTGCAGTATTTCACTTCTGTTACTCTGCTCAGGTTTGACTGCTACATTTCAATAAACTGCCACTCATTGAAACATATTCTTGCTTTCCAAAAGCCTTATTCTGCTGGACAGCAATTCAAAGCCAAAGTTTAAATACTGGGTTGTGACAGGAATGATTCAAGATCTACATTTCTCTTCCTTCCTTTCTTTTTGAGTTTATTCTTTTTTATTTATTTATTTTTTACAATTTATTCACTTTATGTATAGACCCCTCCCTCATCTCCAAGTCTCACCCTCTCTCTCCGCACCCCCATCCACTGAAAGGGGGAGTCCTCCTCCCTTGCCCATCTGACCCTAACCTATCAAGTCTCATCAGGACTGCCTGGATCATCTTCCTCTCTGGTCTGGTTCATATGGCCACCATAACACACTGAAAATGGCTTCCCAATGGCTGGACAATCCCCCAAGTTTAGTAAACCTCCTCCTGCTATTCTGTATACCCATATTGTTACAATGACTCCACATTTCACACCTACCAAATGGATGAGCAGTTATAGTAAGAAGCGGGTGTTGGCTTACAGTTTTGTTGGGAAACAGTAAACAAGCAAAAGTAGAGGATAGGACAGCTGCTCTCAGGAAATGCCTGACGCAAAGGAAGAAATGGGAAGATTTAACTTCGAATCGTTAACTAAGAACTGAAACCCATTTAGCAGTTCCTATTCATAAGCAAATGTATCGGGGAGAAAAGGTAAGAAGGTTGACAAAGAGGGCTGAAGAGGAAAAAAAAAGGAAAGGGCACAAGAAGAAAAGAGAGCTGGAGGGCAGTCAAGACCCAGTGTTTGCTAACCGGGTTGGAGAACAGGGTTTTACCCTTAAGCTTCAAGGGTAAACACGAACGCCTAGAAAGCTGTTTCTGTTCAGGCTTTAAAGGGTGCACTGGGGAAGGGCAAGGAGGCTGGTGCAGTGCTCGGAGGTGGGTACAAATCTGACAGGCACGTAGACGGTCCACAGACTCGGCGACTAACAGCTGAAGGGCCAGGTAAAAATCTGCAGACACACAGGTCTACAAAGGCTCGGTGACTAGCAGCGGAAGGAGCGGGGTCCGCGAGAGATGCCTGAGAAGAACATTTCCTGGGGTGACTCAACTAAGAATGAGGTAAATATCCAGCTGCTCAAAATCGGGCTTAAGTGTAGGAAGGGTCAGTAACCGACAAAGCCAAGGGATGTCAATGCAGGTCCTATAGGGACTTTGACCAACAAAGAAATGAGCTGGAGCTTTCCCGAAAGGCTTCGGGGTGAGAAAGAGAGCTGGGGGAGCAATGCTTAAAATCAGCTCTCTGGAAGACCCAAAAATCACACAGGGAACCCGAAAACAAAACAAAACAAAACAGAACAGAGACATTACACTGGTGCAGTAGAGGCCGGGTCCCTCAGAACTAGCCTCAAGGTCAGCATCAGGGTGGTCTCCAGGCACCAAGGCAGAACTTCCCCTACCCATCCTCCGATCCCGGGTCCACGTCTTGGCCTGCGGCTCCAGGATCCCGCTACCTCCCACCACTCGGCCTCCAGGCTCACCCTTCTAGGGCTCACCCTCCCCCACCGCCCCGTTCCCGCCCCTGAAGCTCAGTGCCCGGGGCGACATCCGGATCTCGGCCTTTAGTGCCTCGGGACGGCCCATGCGCCAGGCTCGAGGGTCTGGGTCCCGCCTCGGTTCAACTGGGCTCAGCGACACGGGCTCGGCCTCCCGGGTCCGGGCTTCCAGCTCGGGATGGCGCTCTTGGCGGCGGTGTCTCCAGCTTCTCCGCCTCGAGGGCTTGCCTGAGCAACACAAAGGATCCTCCGCCCAGATCGCCCGTTTTCCCCTGCCTCCTCCGAGCAGCTGCAGACCCGGCTGGCGGAGGGCGCCGGCTCGGGGTGGCGACGCAGGCCCGGGAAGGAGCCAGGGCAGCCAGCACTCACCGAACCGCTGCAAGCTCCGCACAGCACAACAGGACGCTCTGCTTTGATCCTACCAGCAGCAATCACCGCCTACCGCCCGGCCCCGCCCACGGCCCGCCCCCTCCGGGTCTCTCCCTTCCCTCCCCCAACCCACAGCGTGCCTGTAGCGACCCGTGGTCTCAGCCCGGGCCGGTGCCCCGCACACTCTGGAGCCCCGCCCCCTGCAGCTCATTTTCCCGCGAGCCCCGCCCCCAGGGTGGTCCCGCCCCCTGTGACTCCGCCCCCTCGCCGGCGTTTGAAGCTCGGGTTCCCGCCATCTACAGCTTCACCACCTGCTGCTGCCTCCGGCCGACGTGCGTCCCCTGAGGTAAATTTAGAGAGGGCTTTAGGCCGCGCCTGATTCCCGGGGCCGCAAAGATGGGCGTTCAGGGCGACCCCCGCTGTCAGTCAGAGCTCCGAGAGGGAGAAGGTAGGGCTGAACCCCGCACGCGGACTCTGTACTTCCTCTCCAAGGAGCTGAGACCTCTCTTCACTTCCGTCCAGCTCTTGGTCCCCCGGCCAGAAGCCCTGACTACCTTCCTGAAACTGCGGACTGCTCTCGGTCCTATTTCAGGCCCTGACTCAGCGGAGTGTCTTTTGCATGATATACGAAAACATGAGCACAGCACTCAGGATCACATTTCAGGGGCTCGGGATACTGACAACATATTTACTCCACGGGAGCAGCGGCTTGCCTCCAACGCTTCTGCCCGGTTGAGTGTATTCATCCTTAGTTGGATGTGTACGTAGGTATCGAAACCTCTACCATTTGTTGCGTGCAGAATCCGTGCTCTTGCGTTTCCATAATTTCTTATTTTTTTCTTATTTTTTCCAGTTCCAACAGAGGCTTAAAAAGGATACATGGTTTGCCCTTGTGAAGAGCAGTAGTTATAAATGCAGATTCCAGAAACAAACTGATCTGTCATCCCTCTCAAAGTGGGCGAGGATCAGCCATTAGTTCTGTTGGGAGAAACTAAGCGATTGGACTCATGCAACCCTAGCGATGCTGCGATGCTTCGTGGGGGCTGTGGTTCCACAAGGAAGGAACTAACTGAGAAATCCCCATCTTGTGGTGCCCTCACCCCTCCCTGTGCTAAATGCTCTTAACAAAACGGAACCTTAGGTAAAGTATCTGCAGCAGTTTTCTGCCTTTATATCGACTTCATCTAGAGAAGCTTGTTAGAACAAAGCAGCTGAAGGTGATGTTTTTCCTCTGAGCCCCTCTGAGGGAATAGGTGTTCTGGGCCTCAGAGAGAAAGAATTCATGAAAAGCGAAGTGATGCTTTCCAGGTTGGGGCAGCTGGAAGTGCTCCTGGGGTAATCCATTTGGTGAGAAAACTGAACTAGGATAGTAGATGGTCGCTTTAGGGCCAGATTCTGCAGGGAAATTTAAACCTCCTAAGATAAACTACATATTAATTAAACGATGACTGAATCATTAGCGAGTATTCCTGTGAGAAGCTGTGAAGGTGATGTGAGGGTCATTAGTCTGGTAGAGTTGTGCTGTTTTGTATGGGAGATCAGTGAAAAGGAAAGGAAGCAAGAGCTGGAGCAGTGTATTGTTATGGGCTTTCTTATTCCTCCTAGCAGACTTTATGGACATTTAAATATGACTTCTGTTCATGGACAGTAACTCTAGTAGAGGAAATTCAGTCTTTTAAGTTTAATTTCTTAAATTATTACACATTCTGGAAATTGAGCTTATATAGGAATGTTTTTAAGTGAATTTTAAAAGCATGACCTTTAAAAGATGACCTTTTAAAGTTCTGTGGGGTAATGCATGCCGTTAAGCCCAGCACTCAAGGAGGGGCAGGTGGATAGCTCTAAGTTCAAAGCCAGCCTGGTCTACAAAGAAGTCCAGGACAGCCAAGGCTAAACAGAGAAACACTGTCATGAACAAACAAACAAACAAAACAAAAAATAATGAATACTTAAAGAGTAGATATTGTATAGAGGCATTCTAGAGTACATGAAAGAAGAGCTAAGAAATGGTTGGGTAGTTAAAAGCTCTTGTTGCTCGTCCAGAAGGTCTAAGTTCAGTTTCCTGGTGCCCAACTCAGGTGGCTTGAAGCCACTTGTAACTCTAACTCCAGGGGATCCAGCATCTCCTCCTGGCCTTCAAGAACACACACACACACACACACACACACACACACACACGACATATATTGATACAAATACACACATGTAAATGAAATTTAACAGGAGTTCATGAATAATATATTAAGAAAATGTTAAGGAGCTTGGGAGATGGCTCAGTCAGTATAGTACTGGTTGTACAAACATGAAATTCTGAGCTCAGATCCCCAGCACCCATGTAAAATGCCTGCTATTATGGGAAAGTAGAGACAATGGGATTTGTAGAGCTTGCTGGCCATCCAGCCTAGCCCAATGGCTGATCTTTAGGTTTAGTGAAAGACCCTGATAGGAGCTGGGGTGGGGGTGAATGGGGTTGCACACCTTTAGTTCCAGCACTCGGGAGGCAGAGGCAGGTGGATCTCCTGAGTTAGAGGTCATCCTGGTCTAAGGAGTGAGTTCCAGGACAGCCAGAGCTACACAGAGAAATCCTGTCTCAAAACAAACACCAAACAAACAAATGAAGTAAAATGGAGAGTGATTGAGGAAGATACCCATTGTTTATTGGCATGTGCATTCATGCACCCAAGTCTATCTATCACGTACACACATACTCATAAACATGTATATACACACAAAATACTGTTAAGAATTTTTAAATGAAAGAACATCGTAAGTACTGGAACTAGAGTATCTCCAGGAGATACAATACTGATGAGTCTAATCTTAGGGTAGAGGGACAAGCTGGAGTAGGGGTTAATTGATATTAGACAAGAAACTAGAGCACATACATGCCTATACTACCAGAACCTGAGAAGCTGAAGCAGGAAGATCTACAGCTTGAGGCCAGCCTGGGCAACCATAGGAACAGCTCATCTCAAAAAAAGAAAAGGAAGGAAGAAACCATGAATGTGGCTAAAGGAAGCGACAGCTATTCCTGTACACCTGTATTAGTCAGGCTTCTCATTGTGACAGGGAGTGTCTGGCAGAATAGTTTAATAGATGAAATATTTATTTGGTCTTTAAAGTTGTCAGTCCATCTTGGCTGGGAGGGCATGGTGGAACAGCAGTTTACATCATTGCATTCAGGTAGCAGTACTGTCTCAAACAAGGCCCCATGTCCTACTTTTCACCCTCTCTCGGTAATACTATCATATGAATTTATCAAGGGAACCCATACTAGCGAGTCTGAGTCCACATGCTCTAGTTGCTTTTGAAAGTGACTCCACAGGCAGCCCCGAAAGAAGGGTGTGCTTTACAAGTGTGGGCATACCAAAATCCAGTCAAGTTGACAGTATTAACTATTACAGTATGTGTGAATGGTGACTGCAAAGCACGTGTTATGCCGTCTATCCCCACCCACCCTCAGCCAGGTTGCTTTTGGGAGCCAGGCCATCCACAGTCCTTAACAGACAAGTTTAGTTGTAAGCCCAGGGAACTTGGTCAGCTTTCCACTTTTATCCCGATTTTCCTTTCTCCCAACTAATTACCGGAAAATTCTTTTTTTCTAATTCCAACACTTCCAACTGTAGGGTTGTAGCAAACATAGCCAAACGCTGTTTTGGTGCAGAAATGAGCAGTAGAGCTCCTTAAGCCTTTGCTTTGAACTAGTACAAGTGTTTTCCTTTGGAACTTGTAGACCATTACCAAAAATAGTGTGAGTGAAAAGCAGCTTTGTCATAAAATTATTTGCAAGAACAATAGTTCTCTTTCCACACCAGGAATTAAAAGTATTTCTAATATGGTGTCATATTCTCTCAGAGGGTCGGGATGGGGAATATGATAGTCCCAAACCAGAAGGCCAGATGCTTTCTTCTTGTCCATTTTCTTTGCTTTTGTTACTCAGCCCTTCTCCTGCTCAAATAGTTCAAGCCCCAGGTGTTGCCTGAGGCTCTAGCTGTCACACATTTCTGTCTGTGAAAATAACTCAGGGACATAATAGATGCTAAACATTCTTTCCTGCTGTTGTTGCCTTAGCAGGGTTTCTTCAACCAGTTTTGCATTATGACTCCAAGACTGTTGTAAAGGGCATATTCCTGTAGTCATACCAGATTGCTTTATAATGTGTGTGTGTGTGTGTGTGTGATATTTTACTTTTACCAAATGTGAACATGTATGCAGCCATTCTTAGTCAGTTGTTTTGAATCTATGATTCAGATATAATTGTGTTCTGTTGTTTGGGGGCAACAATATAATAAATCATGCAGAATGAAATCAATTAGGTTTTTTTAAATATAGCAGATTTTATCTACATGTGAATCAAATTAAAGTAAACTTAATATTGACGAATCTATCTCAATTTTTTTAGGCAACTTTTTTTTTTTTTTTCTTTTCAGGGAACATGTTATTTACGAATGCGACTGTGTCACTGCAAAGATTTCTGCTAAAATTGAAGACAAAGCCATTGTCATAGGTAAATAATAATTTTCCCTTAAATGTTTTAGTATATTTTGTTTCACTTAAAACTAGTATATGTTTTCTGTATAAATAGATAATAGCATAGTTGATATTGACGGAGAACCCCAGTTGATCCAATTTTGTATAAAAAACAGCACAAATACTGGTTTAAAAAATTATTTTTTAAGCAGTTCTTGTTAATCCAGGCAGTTCTATAGTCTGTCCTGAATTCATTTGGTTTTAATGATGTGTGGTCTGAAATGTAAAACTGATGACCTAACTAGCTTTAGCTGGAATGCCTTCTTCATGTGGCTTTTCAGCCTCTGATGTGCAGTTATGTGGAAGAACAATGGTCCTCTTTCCCCCTTGCTAGATACATGGCACTGCAGTCTCAGGACAGGACTCCAAGACTCCAAGAAAGTTAAGTCTGATGCAGAGACACCTGATCTTACATTTGTCGCTGTGACCTTGGCCCAAGCAAGTCACAAAGGCAAGCCCAGAGTCAGTGTGTGGTTGAGCTTAGATGGCATCTCCTCCTGGGAAAAGTAGCAAAGTACAAAGTCTGTAATGACATGATTGAAGCCATGCTTAGAGCAGCATTATCATCCCTCTGTAGTATAGGGAGGAGAGTAGAACCGAAACAGAGGGAAAGGGAGCCAATCTTCCATGATGCCTAGACATGAACTGTACACTAAAAAGTGATAACACAGGAACAGGGCCCACGATAGTAAACATCAGATGAGTGCTAGATTGGCTGTGATAAAACTCAGAATGATACTGAAAGTATTTACTTAGCGCTTTATAATTCATAATTAATTCCTAAGACTTTCACATGTGCCTTATCACAGTTAAGCCCTGCATTGAACTGTGGTGATCCCCCTGCAGGCTTGACAGCAGTCAGGGAAAAACCCATCAGGGTGAGATAAGAATGAAATTTGGCTCAGCCCGATTTTATTGTAGCTGGTGCTGGACCAGACTTCTAGAGTCTGGCCCAGATCATTTTACTTAAGTAGCACCACACAAGTTTGGAAAAAATATTCAGTTAAAAATTAATTCAATCTCAAGTGTACAACAACTTAAAATGTTTTTACATTGAGATTCTTCACAAAGTAATCTAGCTTCTTTCACAAAAGTGGGTACTGTTGACTCAAAGATTGTGCTCAAGATTTAGAGTCTAGGGACCTTGCCTGAGGTAAATATAATGTGTTGTTGAAAGAAAGAAAGAGAGAAAGAAAGAAAGGAAGGAAGGAAGGAAGGAAGGAAGGAAGGAAGGAAGGAAGGAAGGAAGGAAG